CAGTAGAGCCGGCCAGCTAACCAATAGGCGCTTTCACACCAAGTAATTTGCCTTACTTAGTTCCCAGTACTTAGTTCATCAGAACTATCGCGTTCACACCGGAATAAATCCCTGAGGGTGGATTAGGCAAATTAAGCCGCTGGCGTCACTTCTTCTTCTTCTGCTTTGGGTTTACTGGCAGGCCGCAAACAACTTCACAGCGTACACTGCCGCCCGAAGTCCCCGGCCGGAAGTCCCCGGAGTTGGGGACTGGCTTCAGTAGAAGCTGCTGGGACTCTCAGCAGCTTCTACTGAAGCCTTCCGAGTAAATCGCCAGAACGCCGACACCTCCTCATCTCCACCGCTCCCATGTTTTATTTTGCATTGCCATAAGTTAGTCTCTCTCCGTTGGTGCGCGGGGCTAATGCTAATAATGCTAATGCCAGCAAATAAAGTTTTACGGGGCATGGTTTGCAATTCGCCCAGCCAATCAGAAATTGGAACCCTTTTCTCCCAGGAAAGTCCCTGCTCTCTAGCAGTGACTAAAGGGGGAACAAAGTTTTCATGAACTATCGGAACTAAAAGGGAAAAGTACTCCGGTGTGAAAGCTCCTATTGAGAGCAGACTTGGCTCTGGTTTCAGACAGAGGGTGAAAAGAGGTGCTGCAGCACAGGCAGTATGAGAAAAATAAAGATCTTTTTGAACATTAAAGCATGGAGACATGTCACAGTAGAGACACTACATACTAATGTGAACCTGAGAAAGAGCGGTATATGTCCTCTTTAAGTCCTTCATCAAAAAGTAAAAGTGTGCTTCAATCTGATTAATAATTGTGAAGAATCTATTGCTTTCATAAACACTAATTTGTATATACTAATGTAGACAATTTGGATTAACTCATAAGTACACATGCTAAATTATAATAATAAATAAATGTTACTGATTTAAAAAAAACATTAAAAGGCCTCATATTTAATAACTTCATTAAAAATGAAGGAGAAGGTAAAAAGAAAAGCGAGAGGCAGAGAAGAAATAATGGCAGGGCGTGATCTGTTGGGGTTTGGATGCATTTCAGGCGAGCTTTGCAGGATGGGTTTGGTTCAGTATTATGAATTCTTCCTGCTCATGCACACACACTGTTCTCTGACTGTAAAACATTGAATGCAAGGCTTTTCCTTGTGATGGAGTATCTCTACATTGTTGTGTTAGTGCTTATACTCAGACCCTGGACACAATGCGCCCCATTCTTAAGATCTGAAGCCTCAGTAATGTGTCATGATTTAAATCTCCGTCAACGAAGATAAACACTGTCTCGAAGACTTACAGTTTTCTCACCTTCAGACAGAACGCCCCGATACATTCCCTCGGTCCGTGCTGGAGAGGCGTGCGCTCACACCTGCTGACAGACGAGGCCACTTTGAGGCACTCGTACATCAGCGCTGATCAAAGCCAGAGCCCTGGTGTTCTTCATCAGCTCTCAGACTGATACCTGGGTCTGATTCCCTCCCCACTTTGTTCACCATTTGTACGTGCTGATACAGAGCTCTGGGAGGGAATCTGACGTTTACTGTACGCCACGGTCAATAGCAGCCAGTGAGAGATTGAATGCTCCTGACAGGTTTTTTCTGTCATCAAGCAATATGGTTTTCATGTGTGCCGTCTTTGATGTTTTCAGTCGAGACGGAGACTCACCTGCATACAATGAATCCGATTTTCTTTTTGGCATGTTGTGTGAGCCATCCCAGCTGTCACTAAATAGCGTATGTTACACTCTGACAGTGCTTAAAACAGAACATGGAAAAAGCTGAGCATTCCTTAAGCTGATGATTGGATTATTTATACAATGATTTGCTGTTATTTTTCAGCTCAGAAATGAAGGTAATAATTACCTTGCTCATAGCCTGTCTTCCCTGAGCACAGAAAATCCTTGAGGGCAAGGTTTTAATGGTTTAATTACAATGGCGTGTTTTAAAGAGGATAACAAGCTCAGAGTATGGCTGATTTCCTGGAAATTATATGCTGTTTTATTATTATGTAGGGTATGGCTAAGATGTATAATTATCAGTCACATGTGTGGGCCAACATGTTTCATATCTCTGGAACAGCAACACGATGATCTATGACACTGATATAAAATAATATATGTGGAGCTTTTTGAAAGAATCAGCGCCCACTGGCTCTCATAATTAGGTGGGTGTCTTTATATCGTACTGAGCTGTCTGAGGTGATGATTCACAGTTTTACAATTAATCCCAGTGGAAATGTACTCCAACTGCCACAGGCGGGGAATACTACAGTAGTACGACTCCAGCACCACCGCAACCCCCTGCCATCACTCGTCAACACGTTAATATTTGTTCAAGCTTACAAGTCTGGTATGTTAAAGGGGCCCTATTCTGCTCATTTTCAGGTTCATGTTTGTATGTTGTGTCTCTACTGTGACATGTTTACATGATTTCAGATAGCTCTTTATTTCTCTCATACTGCCTTTTCACCCTCTGTCTGAAACCAGAGCCCAGTCTGCTCTGATTGGTTAGCTGGTCGGCTCTGTGGTGATTGGCGCTTAGAGATGTCTCGCCCCTAAGCCTATCACCTATAATGTGTTGGAGCGCTAGCCAATAGTGTAATAAAAAGCGTTATAGCGACCAATTTAAAGAAGTAGTTTGGGAAATGCGATGTGCTGTAAATATGAAGCAACAAACAGCAGCCAGTTAGCTAAGCTTAGCATTTCTCACAATACAATTGCTTTTATGTTGATGTCCAATCATTGTTTGTGGTGAAAGCTACAGGTATATTGACCAAGAAAGATTAGTTCCTGCACTCGTGGAGCCATGCTGTCAGTCCCTACATGTACCAGGATACATTGCACAAGAGCCATTGACTTCAAGCTAAAACATAATGTCGCAATTTTGCATATTAGAAATAATGGAGGCTTCATAGTCGAACGAGTGCACACCAAAACAGCAACAAATCCTTATTTACCACATTGTCAACAGCAGCCTTTTACAGTTTCACTCTTTCTGATGTTACCTTTCAGAATAAAAGCCCAACTCAAATGAACTGCATTTCGATAAAAGGTCACCCAACACTCAACATAAGCTTTTAAAAAAACAGAAATAAACAATAGTGAAAATTGGACCTACATGCATCAGATGGACTGAAACACAACTGTTGAAGAATACAAGAATATTAATGTAGCTCTGTGACCTCTGGATGTGTGGATATCGACTGTTAATGAGTTAGCCATATTAGCTTTAGAGGTGATGACATACACCAAAGTGGTGTTCACATGTCGCCCAATAACTCAGTAATTGCAGGTTTAAGTATTTCCCACAATGTCAAACTCTTCTTATAAAGCTTCCAGAGCTGGTATGTAAATGAATATGAGAAATTGAAATGTCAGAGGAAAAAGCGGTTTATTCAACAGGCTCCCCGGCTTATGGAAACAGTATTGAGTAGAGTAAAAGTATTTCAAGTCTTGACCAAATCAGCCTGGCTTTTATCCGTTTCCAAACCTCAAAATCACAACAAAAATACAGAGCGATCCAACGCACAGCCGGCTCAGCGCCTGTTAAGTTGTTTATTTTGTCTGCTGTCAGAGAGAAGAGAAAGTCACTGAGAGGGAGGGAAAGGGGGAGAAAGAGAGAGAGACGCTGCTGCAAAGCCTGAATATTTAAAAAAACAGCTTTTATTCCAGTAAATTGAAAAGACAAACAAGGAGTAACTTTGTTGTGGCGGAACAAGAGGCAAGTCTTTAACAGTGAAGAAAGGGTCATGTTGGTTTTGAAGATAAGTGATCCGTGTCCCGTTGCCAACCCTAAACAAATTCCATTTCAGGCAGCTCACCTCGTCTTTATCTCCTCTTCTATCTTCACTGACGGCACTTGACATTTTTAGGGAAGGGTTAGATTCAAGCTGGAATTCTTTCAACTTCACATTTGACCAAAATGAAAACATGCCAGTTGTTGCATAAAAATGCTTCTTCCAGTGGGTTTTTCATGGACTGCGTTTTCTTATCTCCAAACCAGATCCCAGTCTCCTATACAGTAATTTATTATGAAGGAGTCATTCGAGATAAGAACATGGCGCATTAGGAAACAATCTTAAATCAAAACCCACCCTGGTTTACATGCTGTATATACATTTGTTATCTTGTTTATGACATTTTTCCATCATTACATTACTTAAATAAGCACAGTTAATACAATAAAACACTTGTATGTCTTTCGATGACGGAGAAAGTGTTGACTATTCTGACATGTTGTTATAAACTACAGTAATTGACGTCCACACACACAGTCTACATCACACGTATAAGTAGTAGACTCATTTTTCACCAGAGAGCTCATGGAAATGTTCATGCATGTGCCGAAAAGAAATTGCGGGTTTTTTTACATTCATCCGAGCTTTTTGGGCAAATAAGACCTGACGTGGCACCTGAGTGAGTTATCTGGGATAAAGAAATAAGCACAGACAGAGTGAAGCTTTCGGGGAAGAATGGTGGCTAAACTTAGAGGGTGAATTTTAAAAAAGCCTCTTTTCAGGAATTGCAGTCGGAGAGACAGAGAGGTTTCCTTGTGTGACCTTCTTCAGAGTCTGGCACCAGTTAATTGTATCTTAAGGCAAGACTTTTCCAATGATAGTAGGAAGAAGGAAGAAATGACTCTGGATTTGATTCAGTTTTGTAAATACGTTCCTTTGCATCATGCCTCAGTTGGGCAAAGTTATTAAGAAATACAACTCATAATGGATCTGTATTTTAAAAGCTGTAATGATTGAATGAGAACACAGTGTGATGGCTATAGCAACGTCCACATCCTGGTTATTAAAATCTTGCCTTCCAATAACGGGGCATGCCTTTTTTTTATTGGGTCTTATTTATTTTATTACAGCCATAAAAAGTATGATTAAAATAAATGCCTTCATTATTGGTTACACTGTGAATGTCCTTGAAATCGATTTATGCTCATATTTTCCTATTCATTCTATGACTAACTCTGGGGTTTTTCTCTCTGCTGCAGGTTTCTGACAACCAGCGAGTGGATCCACTGGGATCATGGATGGACTTTGTTAAAAGACCTGTTGGCAACTTTCCTGGAAAGTGTCGCAAACGCAAACGACCCCTGGTAAACCCAAGAGATTGATTGTGTGTCTTGCAGTTTTTCAAACAAGTGTACATGATTAATGATCGTTGGTACTTTGCAGTGATTGGTAAATAAGACATCGTGATTTTGAGATTGAGTTGGATGCATGACAATGTTTTGAATGTTTTCCCTCCATTAGCCCGGCCCCCCTGGTCCTCCTGGTCCTCCCGGCCCTCAGGGACCTCCTGGATCTCCTGGAGCTGAGGTGACCCAGGAAGTCCTTCTGCAGGAGTTCAAAGACATGATTAAAGGTAGACATTTGTTCATTTTTCCAACCCAGACACAAGTCGGCTCATTCATTTTTAAACATATGGATGTGCACATATGTATGACACTTATTAATATTCACTTATATTCTTTCACATTATTTATAAAAGTGTCAACATATTTCATGAAGATTTCCATCCTTTGCCTTCTTGTGTCCTCCTTCATACTTTCTCTTTACTTCTGACTTAACAACAACAACAACAACAACAACGACAACAACGACATGTAAATATGGTTTCCAAAGCCCTATTTAACACGCCAACACTAGCATAGTGCTGTGTTAGCATGTTAAATGCCAACACATGTAAATCCTTCCGTTAAATATTACCACATATAGGTCCCCCACATTTTCATTCACCTTTTAAGTGTCTATATTATACATTTTACACTCATTCTGTATATACTTTTGTATATATCTCGTATTTAGACACTTATACCTATACATTGCACTGTACTTTAAAGGTCCCATGTCATGCTTTTCCGGTTATTACCGTCCCCTTGTGTGTTATGTAGCTTTTTCTGCATGTAAACGGTCTGCAGAGTCACAAACCCTCAAAGTACACCCTGTAGCGAGTAAAACTCTAATACAGAAAATACCTGTCCATGCTGCCCCAGAACGCCTCGTTGGAGATTTCTCTTTTTCCATTGTTTACCTCTTGGGTATAGTGACGTATTTCGGGTATAGTGACGTAACGTAACGGCTCCGCAGATTGGTCCAAATTAACCAATCCGCGGAGCCGTTACGTTACGTCTGCGGAGCCGTTACGTTTTGACCAATCCGCGGACTTCCTCACACACACACACTCGGTGGGACGTTGCGAGGCTCGCAGCCAGGCTGCGGGTGTGTGTGTGTTCCGGGCTGGGTTTTGCTGTGTCTCGCTGTTTCGCAGACGGCCACTAGGGCTCACAGGAAGGGGGGGGGGGGGCAGGAGCTCCAACAAGCCGTTTAGGACAGAGAGTGAATACACATACTTTACAGAGATGCTGGATGAGAAACCAATGTGAGTTTGGAAAATTGCACAATGTAAATCTATTGTAGTATACCTGAACAATGGAATTATGATCAGTAGAAATGGCCATGACATGGGACCTTTAAAGCTTCTCACGCATTTCTGGTTAGATGCTTACTGTATTTCATTGTCCCAGAACTCAATTGGAATAAAGTCTAATCGAATCTACATTTGACCATATTATCGAATAAAATCGATGTTAAAATATCACTCATCAACAGCTTGAGCTTCAATATCAGGATCCATGTATCTGTGATCCTCTCCAGAATGGAAGTAGTCATCACATACAGAGCATCAACTAGTTCCTGAACAGTGTCCTTCACATGCTGATATCCAAGAGAGGGGTTACACAGTCACAAGATGGAGGAATAGAAAGCAGTATTCAATGTTTACTTCAGATTAGCTCCACCTCAGAAATGATCATGCTTGTCATATGTCTATCCTAGTCCTGATGCTCTTCTAATCATACATCCTGTTACGTACACAGATACGTAGGGCTTTTGTTATCATGTGTACTCTGATATTGGAAGAGTACATTCAGTATTTTCCCAACATTAACTCATTGAGTGTAGAATAACGTGGATGTGTTTCTTTCAGAGGCCACAGAGAGGCGAGCAGCAGCGTCTCTGGAGAGGCAGGCGAGCCCCAGCCAGCTCCCCACAGCCCTGCTCACGCTAGAGGGGATGACCTCGTACCGGAGGATCGAGGAGGCTTTCCACTGCAAGCTCAAAGGACCCGTGGTGGTCGACAAGAAGACTCTGGTGGAGCTACAGAACTTTCAGACAGTACGTTTGTTTAAAGGTCACCTATTATGCAAAATCCACGTGTTCATGTCTTCTATACATCAACATGTGTCCCGTCTGTGGAAAGAGACTCTGAAGGTTTCAGGAACAAAGATTCTCTCTCTTTTGGTCCTGATCCATTTATATAAAAACCAGTCTGAAAATGAGCTGATCAGATTTTGGCCACTTTATGATGTCATAACGATTTTTTGGGTTGTGTAACCATTAGCCAATCACCAACCAAGGTAACCCCCCCCCCCCCTTATCACCTGAATCTCCTCCTAGAGCACCATTGTGTATCTCTCAGAGGGGCGTGGGGAGGGGCTCCTTATTTTCACTCTGGTGGAGCTGCAGAACTTTCAGACAGTACGTTTGAATTGAAACCACCAAGTAAATGTTTAACCTCAGAGCACAACTGTGAACATTCACAAACACACCTCCGCCCCTCAAAGACTGCAACCACTACTATTTAGAAATATGTATGGCTATTTGACTTGCATCCTTTGGTTACTATAACCCTTGTGAACAACACACAGTAAATATGCACTATGACATTGAATTTTGTCGTTAATCGCTACTACCTCTGCTTTTACCACTCTTATTTATTCATATATTTATTTGTGTCTATTTTTTACTGCAGTGAGAGTTGTCAAAGAAATGTCGTTGTACTTTGTATGATGACAATAAAGATATATTCTATTCTTTAAGAACCAGTTCAGCTTTGGTAGAAAAAGAAAGGTTTTGGCTAATCCTGCTTCAGCATGGTTTCACGCTTTCTTTCTGACCCATTTGCTTCTCTCTCCTAATTGTGTTTGAAAGAGCGAGTGTTTGGTAATCATCGCTTAGTTTGCATGTGGGGGGAATTACGAGAGGATCATCCCCTCTCTGATAACTGGCACTGGCAAAGCGTGCACTGCCTCTCCGAGACCCAGACTGGCTCTCTGGATACAAATATCTACTTTTTCAATTATACACAACACTTTCTGGGCAGCGTACAAAAGGCACTCTGTCTCTGACTTGGAATAAAGTGTGGAGAGGACAGAAATAGACACTGTTTGAAACGGCATGCTGTAGTGGAAGAACTATGCCCCGTTGGGATGGGCTGTCATGGTTTCAGGAGGGAGGATTAGGCTTTTCCGAACTGTTTAACATGCTAACACAGCACTTTGTTCGTACAAGCGTGGTACATATGGCTTTGGAAGGGATACGTACATGTTTTTGTCATATTTAAAGAAAAAGAAAGCCAATTAACGACGTACATCTTCACCAAATCGGTTCCATAAGCTTGGTGACATTTGCAGAATTTCCACTGCATGATATTTCACAACACTTGACTCAGTCTTTTATGGTTTTTACCAACACTTGATTTGGGTCAAACTAAACCATTCTATGCATTACATTAATGCACACAATGTACAAAATATCTGTTTTCTTTTTTTATTACTGCCGATTTTTATTCCATATTTTATTCCATTCTATTTCTATGTAAATACTGCTATATTTTGTATTATTTCTTAATATTTTTTAATGACATTTTTATGTATGCACCATGACATCAAGTCAAATTCCTCGTACGTGTAAACTTACCTGGTAATAAACCTGATTCTGATTCTGATTCTGATTCAGGGTAAACGAGGAAATAGTTGAAGCTTACTTGGTGAACTGTAGCTGACCAGGTAGTTAGCCAGGCCGGCATATTGGCTCTCAGAGAATGAATTAACATATTAACTTCATGTGTCTGTGCTTTCAGCCTCCGGCTAAAGGAGCGTTCCTCAGAGGGTTGGGGATGGACCAGTCCACCGGGAGATTCACGGCTCCCATCACTGGGATCTACCAGTTCTCTGCTAACGTCCACATTGGTAAGTCACAGTCACTGTCTTATATGGAGTATTACAGGACATATACAAAGGAAATAAGGGTCTAAAAATGTAAAGAAACAGTCCTTAATTGGCGTAATTTGTGCATCATAGGCAAACAGTGTTTTTACGCTGTCTATATTACATTTAGCTGACACTTTCATCCAAAGCGATAAGATGAGTTTTCAGTCTGCGCCGGAAGATGTGTAAGCTTTCTGCTGTCCTGATGTCAATGGGGAGCTCATTCCACCATTTTGGAGCCAGGATAGCAAACCTATGTCTGACTTTTAACATTTCCATCTGACCAGGTTTAAAATGACAACCCTTTTAAAGGATCTTAAATATGTGCTTGACACCTACATACATGAGACATGCATAACAACTGGGGTTAAAGCTACATGTCCCATGCAAAAGTGAAACATCTTCACCAATTGAACGTTGATTTAGTAGATATGTAAATAAAGAAACTGCATTGTTCTTGTTTTGCGTGTAAAGCGAGTTATTCCTATTTTAAAAGTATGATGAGGAACAATGAAGAAAATATTAGCTTTTATTGAAAGAAGAGGGAAATGTTATGATGTCCAAACATTTTAAATAAGGTTACTACAGCGAAGACGCTAGTTAGCTATATATACAACTGCGGCTTATATTTGAGTAAACTATCGCAGTTTAATCCACGCCTTGTACTTTTACTTTATCGGATTTGGAAAAACTGAAAAATATAAATATACAGATCAGGATACAGAGAAAAGCGAAGTTTGACAGGCCTGTTGTGTCAAGTTACTGAGATTGGACTGTTCAGCTGTAGGGTTTCAGTTGCGGCCACTTAAATGGGATATATTTGTTTGTGAGCAATGCTTGAGACATTATCTCCATGTGATTGTGTACATGTTTCTCTCCTTGCAGACCACAACGAGGTGAAGAGGACCAAGAGTCAGCTGAAGGCCAGGGATAATGTTCGGGTGCTGATCTGCATTGAATCACTCTGCCATAGATACACGTAGGTATTTTGTACCATTCAGTGTCTTAACATGCACACTACAACCTGAGTTTGGATCTTATTTGGGTGCATGATACACCTGGCTATTCTTCTCCATGCAAACACATGATGTTAACAGTATCAGGTGTTGATTATCTGTGTGCATTTTGTCTTGACTCATCAACATCTCAGCCTCTATGTTCACAGGGGGTCCGCGGGGTCTTAACAAGTATTAAAAGTTGATAAATCAATTTAGCGAAAATGAAGGCTATTAAAAAGTATTGAACGGCATTTTCCAAGGTATTACATTTTGCAGCTTGTTTTCAATAAGTATATGAATTGTCCAAAGAGGTTGTGTTCTACAGTCTGCCTGAATGTAATCATTGCGTAGGTGTGTAGTGTGATTCTGTGTAGTTTATTTATGGCATCCCGTTGGATCTGACGTCATCTGAACAGGACATCGCACGCTCACTGCTTGATAGCACGAGGCTCCGTTTACGCCGGTTGTTAAACAACATCGTTATGGAGAAATGCAAGTCTGCGTCCAAATGGTTGGAAGATAAGGAGGAAGGACAATCTATACTGTATATAGTCAATGTGAGGTGAAGTGTGTCGCCAAGGTAACCGGTTAAAACTCCAAGTGGCGATGAGGTCTTAAAATGTATGGAAAGGGTCTTAAAAAAGGTCTTACATCTGACTTCAGGATTCCTGCATACACCTGTATGTGTTCTGTACCAACGGCCAAATGATCCTGGTTTCTATTGTAGTTATCCAGATGGGTGTACTACACAATGAGTTTAGCAAAGTAATGTTACGGCGGTGACACTGTTAAACCGTAGATTGCCACGGTTAATATTGCTACAGTTTTAATCTTGTTCTGACAAGTTTATGCTTAGGGTTTTTGAATGAAGTCGGCTTTAAGAAACACCTTTCGCTCATCACAATCCTTTTGGTAAATTGAGTCGTTAAAATAAACAGCTGAACTTATTCCTACGTATCCTTCCTTATGGGACAGCGCTATAGCTAATGTAAGTACTTTGAAAATGTGATGCATCATATAGAGCTCTGTAATATGAGTAACTATCTTAGTTTACAGCAAAAGTGTTGCTTTCTTCTGTTATATCTTTTTAAGTTTTCATTGTAGCTCTCCATTCTGATATATTTTCCGATGATTTCGTGCGACAATGTGAACATCCATATAGCCTCATGTAAATAAAACCTTAGTTGACAATGAAAGTAGATCGTAACCACTGTAAATAGGAACTCTAGAATCAAACAATAATTCATACTTTAACTAACACTACTTCTTACCTTAATAATGTTCATTGATCATGGCTTTAGCTGCTCAGTCATTTAACCTTTTACCACTAAAAGTTAATACAACTGATCTTGGAGAACAATCATCTGACCCCAACAACTACACTTTCTTGAAATATTTATTCTGACAAATTGTTTACTTTCCCTTTGTGACACATCATTGATTGGTGTTCAATGCTGCCTTGACCGTCTCCAGTATTTATGAGCTGTTAAAGGTGTTGTTTGTAACAGTTTGTGTGGAACCAGTTTGGCATTTCCTGTATAAAAGCAGAGCAGGTCTTTAAAGGAAATGTCCTCTCACTTGGATCCTTCGTCCCTGTCGCCTAACTAATCTTTACAGACTCACCTTTGACTCTTCAGGCAGCCTGTTTTATTCGGCAGCAGCGCAGTAAAATGCCCTTATTGGGATGTGAGAGGGAGATAATGAGATATCTAATACAGCATTTCTACTTGTGCAAATCCAGTGGAGGAAGGTTTTGAGTTCTTTCCAATATTTTCTATTTACATAAAGTCAGTGAAAACTGCAAAAATGAATTGCTCCCTAAAGTCTCCCCCGGACTCTGCAGAGCTCCACAGCCTCTCTCCTAGCTTGGTACAATTAGGGGAACATATACATAATATTCTTATGATGGCTTACCTAACCCAAAAGAGTCCTTGGCTTTTACTTATTTCGAGCCAAAGCCCCAGAAAGTCTCGCCCTCCCACACATGAAAATGCAGAGAATGTGAAATGAGGCTCATTGTGATGGCAGTTGGAGTGAAGACCAACGTGATTGATTTGCCATAAAAATGTACCATTTTCCACTTAACAGGAGCCAGGGCTCTCCCTGTGTGGTTAAAGCCTGTTGAAATGTTACAACCATCCATACAGGCTCTGAGGGCAGAGGGTTGATCAAGAAAAGTAGCATGTGGGAGGCTTTCTTACTGAGAGTTAGAGAAAAAGACCACTGTGATGTTTATACGTTCAATATAAGCTACAAGCTGGGGCTGGTTAACTTAGCTTAGCATAAGGACTGGAACAGCAGTAAGCAGCTAGCACTGCTCTGTCACAATTACACAGTGTTATGTGTTCCGCCCAAAGTTTGTAAATAGAGATATAACGTTTATTTGGTGAGGTTTATTTGGTGAGGTTTCACTGCGGATTCGTATATACACATTAAGGCAGGCTAGCTTTATCTCACATTTCATGTCTTTGTGCTAAGCTAATTTGGTAAGCTGCTTGTAGTAGCTTTTTATTTCTAAAGACGTGACAGTCAATCTTATGTGAAAAATGTGTTTCTCATTCAATTCTGAGTAAAAAAGGAATTAAGCATATTTCTCATGTCGGAAGATGTTTTTAAAATGAGCAATTAAACAAGTTCTGGGTCTCACATTGCGTACTTCTTGACTAATATTTGCTGTTTTGAGGGCATTGGTGCATCCAAAAATATAGCGAAATGTGTTGCATGACCCTGATGGTGCACTCATAATGGTCAAAAAGTTGATTCTGAAAAGCTGGACACTATCAATATCTTGGCTGCCTAACAGAAGTTACACAACCATTCACAATTGCGGTTGCTTCGGTAAACACAGCAGTATACGAATATAAGATATATATATATGGGTTATATTTATATTTTGTTCACTATTTGAGTTATGTACCACTATACCAACACAGTCTCACGGCATTTCGTGTTAAAAGCAATGTAAATAATAACAAATTAGAAAGAAAAAAAAAGGGATTAAAACAAATACAGATTTCAGTATTCTGAGGCTCTGAGCCATTTATTTATTTTCCTCACGGACGGCAAGAAAACTCCGACATTATACAATTTAAAATAAAAGGGTTAGGGTTAGGCTTAGGGTAAGATATTGAGTAAGAAAATGTTTTTATGAACCACACAGCTTCTGGTATTCCAAGACGTGGTGCAGGCACGAAACATACTACCAATAGAAATACATTGCTTTTAAAATCGTTCTTTGTGACATGAAAAAAAACGGAAATCGTGTCGGTGAACACGAATCAATAGATTAAATTAATTTCGTGACTATAACACGAAATGCCGTGACACTGGGTTGACTATACTGGTGTTGATAAGAACCTATTGTCATTTGTATAGTGTTAATTGAGCTGTCTATAATGATTTGGTACAGTTTGCTGTAGCTCACTAGCTAGCGCTCGTCATTTCCGGCATGGTGTGATTTGACTTTGTTCAAGGGAAGTATCTGAATAGAGACAAAGCAAGATCTTGACGATTGAAAATGTGAGATGTTTTGTAAAACACGAAATTAACATCAAAATGTCCTTCTCTTTGTGATTGCAGCTCCTTGGAGATGATTGTTGGCTTAGAAAGTAACAGCAAGATATTTACTGTCAGCGTTCAGGGGCTGCTGGAGCTTCAGGTGAGCAGCACACTTAACAACACATCAACATTAAATATCTGTGTTTGTGTAATCTCTTCTGCATCACTGTTGTGTTTTATTTCCTCTACAGGCCGGGCAGTACACCTCCATATTTGTGGACAACGCAGCCGGCGCTTCAATCACAATACAGAACGGTTCAGATTTTATGGGCATGCTGCTTGGTGTATAGCCCTGTCAAATGAACAGTGGCTAATCCAAGCCATTCCACTGCTGCCAATTTATTTTTGTCTTTTTATATTTGTATTTCAACGGACTGCTTAAGAGCACCATCACACAGAACCAAACCACAGGGGAGGTTTGAAGGAAGGAAGCGAGGCTGACATGGACTTGACTGCTTGTCAGATGGTGAGAGGACAGTGTGAAGAACTCAAGGACTGAGTTGGTTTTTCACAGTGCGACACTGCCACTCCCCTGAGGACTGTTACTTCACCAATAAAGTAACCTGAAAATAAGCCGTGAATATGTCTGTAACAGTGTGTGTTATCGTGCTTGTTGACGACCTTTGCAGTAAGCCAACTATCAATGTTATTAATGTTCCCTGGATAGATGTAGGAAGAGCTGGGGAACACTAGAAAGTACATTTGTGTTTAATGTATAGTGGACATGTTAATGCTTTTTTCTACATGATCTATGTACACATTCATGTTCTTTTTAATCATGGATTAAATCTCACATTTATAGATGTTATCTGGTACATAGACTGTGAGTACACTGGACAATGGAAACATGCTCAACAGAGAAAATACGGCTCAATGAGATGTTGTCCCACAAATGTAATTATTACATATTTTTAATATAACTATACCTTCATTTTTAGCCATGCTAACACCGTGGCAATGTCAGTCGTTCACACCAAAGTATCTCACAGCTTGTGCATGTATCGCAATGACATTTTGTAAGCCTGACATTCATGACCACAAGAGGATGAATCCTACTGTCTTCACTAGAACTATAGTAGGCCACACATTTTGGTACCGACATTCATGTCCTGCTCAGGAAGAATAAGGGTTAAGGCTTGCTAAAAGACTAAGATGGTTAACATTATACAAGCAAAACATTGAAAACGAGTGTGACCAAATAAGAGATGCTAGCATGACTGTAGACGATTTATGGCGTATTCACATTACAACGGAAAAACAAAGGTATTGCGTAATGTGTGGTGCGTCTTCTGATAATGAGATCTGAGCCTACTGGAAATACTCAACTGGCCCTTTAGACTTTGCAATGGCGTCCATGTGGTAGATTGTAATGATGGCGATTTAATGATGGCAGTATGCAGTACATTAAGAATGGGTATTCAGCATGCAGTACATTAGTGTGTATTAATGTGTTCTGACAAAGTCCAGAAGTCCGCTTTACTAAACAATGCTGGTGTTGTTAGCACTAGATTGCTGTGTTTCGTAGACTCAAACAATGATTTGTGTGAATGCTTATATTTCACCAAGCAAATATCTGTTTTGTCTTGTCTCCATGCGGTGATATCTATTGTAATTTGACACTTCTGAAAAGGTTGAAGTAGGTAAGCGGCAATTGGCGTTCACCAAATTGTAACTTTCCGCCCTTTCCTGCTCTGCGCACTATGAACATCCTCCAAAAGCTCACACAACATACAGGAGCCTTTCATGGCGGTGGCACATGCAACAGTTTTCCTGCTATAATCTGAGTATGGCTTTAGTTTTGTTTAAATGTGTCCGACAAATCAAGTGACATTTACTGAGAGAGCTGTAAGAGAACATTTTTTTTTACTTTAAGATTATTTTTACAGTATTCTTTGCTATCATTTATCTGTTTTATTTTTTGTATTTTATCCAATTCTTGTCATATAGATGTTTGTAATTTATAATAACTAATACACAGGTATCATTGAAAGCAGTGACATTTGATATGGTATTTATATTCTAAGGAAATGTATGAATCACTTGTTGATTGAAACTCTCGTGGACTCCTGAAAAACCAGATTATTGTAAAAATAAAATTATATCTTTTTGCTATTTTTGTATTACCCATACTATGCTGTAATTTGAAGATTAAACTTTTTTAAATGTAAAATGCTGGTCTCTTTAATATGTGAAACTGCCTGTTCTAATATCATCACTATCTCTGGGGGAGTAATTAACCTTCATTTCATTGTTTTTCTTTTAGTAGCTTTGATTTATTTATGAAAACATCCCCTGGAGTTGAACAAAATGCTCCCCGTGGCATCATTTCAATTGTGAAATACCTGAAATTCCTTTGCAAACACTGGCAGACTGCCAAGGGAATTCATGACTATCTGTAAAATATTACTAAAACATCTTGGTATTTGTAATGAAAACTGCATGGCATGTCCAGGGAATCAAATCAAATAGCAATGACCTTTTATCCAAGTATTTCTCAGGTTTCTATTTTAATTAAAACTGAATATCTGTTGTCCATCTCAACACAGCGAAGTCCAGTACATGGCACTTTAATGCTCCTCTTTGGAGATGTTAATATTGTTTCCTGGGTGGTCTCTACAGCAGTAATAAGGAGGACTTTATTGCATAAATGCTTGTCCAGCCAGTCAAATTAGCTTGTTAGCATCACTGCATGAATGCCTTCTCATGGAAGCATTGCTGGGATGCCAACTGTCACATACTGTACCCAAAAACCCACCACAAGAACGTTGCACCCACGTGCTATTTCAGCAACCTACTGTAGCACACATTTCAGAAGGGAAGGGGGCTGCTTGCTGAAAAGCCAACATTTGGAAAACAAACATTACTTGTTTTTATTTTTAAATGAGCTGCCAACATTTTTAGGTACCAGTTATTATGTGTTCTAATTGCCCCAAAGCTTCACATAAACCAGTCATGAGAAATGTTTTGAAAATAAAGACATTGAAAATAGCTCAGCCAGAATGTATAGTGTACATACTGTAAGACTAAAGCATATTCACTCTCCTTCTTTCCCCATGAGCTGCAGTCTTTCTACATTGAACAGCGCAGGGATGACAGACGATATACGTTTACATAATATTTGCCTTTTCATTGCTCCAGAAGCAAGAGAATGGCACACACTTGTGAGTTTTGATTGTCTTATGTTTTTTTTTTTCTTCCAAAATGTGTTTAATGACAGCTATGTGAGCATGCCGTAACGCATTCGCTGCCCTGCAGTGGAACATAAAGCCTGCCAAAAGTGGTTGCGAAACCACCCTGCGCCACGACTCTGACAGGAATTTCCCATCGCCCCATTATCAGCATCAGACAAGCTGAGTGATTGCAATTACATCTGCCGAAATGCTAAGAGCAACTTGCTTTTCTCTTTTCCTTTCGGAGAAGTGAGGTATTATGAATAGCCCCATTGTGGATCTTTGAGGTTCTGTCTGCCCTGTAAACCAACATAGTGCAACGTGCTGTGTAGCTTTAATGAGGCCTTAATTATGAGATTCCTCTACCTTAGTGAGTCATTGGGAGATGGGTTTTAGCAACAAATCCTGTGTAGCAGCGTCGCTGAAACAAAGGGAGAGAAGCGCTAAATGTCACTAATTTGACACACGTGTGACCGGTGGTAGAAGTACTCAGATCTAGCATTTAACGGTGCTATTTCGCTCAATTTTCAGGTCCAGGGGTGTTTCTCAATGTCGAGGAAAGCTGCTCCAGAGACACTATCTCAAGCATACTACGTCATCGAGTGCCGCCGAAGTACTGTTCCAATGTCCAGCATACTTGGAATTCTACCGAGCCCGGCGTACTTCGTTTGGAGACATTTCGAGGCTGCATATGTGTAGACTCAGCGGTCTTAAAATCCCCACAATGCTTTGCGCACGGACCAATTTCCCCAAATCTGTGGCGGAAAATGTAAGGCGGGGCCTCTCATATGACGCACACTTGCTCGCCTGTTCCACTCTTTGTTTTCCGAATGCCAGGAAGTATTCTTGCCTCGCTTCTGAAGCAAGTGACTCGGAAGACATGTGCTACCAAGCAAGCGTACTCGATATTGAGAAACACCCCATATTTTAATGTTGTGCTTCTACTGTTTACATGCTTTAATCTTCCAAAAGCCCTTTATTTTCCTCATACTGCCTTTTCACCCTCTGTCTGAAACCAGAGCCCAGTCTGCTCTGATTGGTTAACTGGTCGGCTCTGTTGTGATTGGTCAACTGCTAAGAGATGTCCCGTCCCTTAGCCTATCACGTATTGGAGCGCTAGACAATAGAAGTGTTACATAGTGATGTCACTGTTACAGAAGTAAACAATGGAGTCCAATGAAGAAGTTTCAGGCAGGGGAAGTGTGGGATCCAAATCTGCATCATAACTAAAGGTATTAAATATATGTAGTGAAGTAAAAGTACACTATTTACCTTTAAATAGAAGTACAAAGTAGTACAAAGTAGCAAACAATGTAAATACTCAAGTAAGGCACAACTACCTCAAAATGGTACTTAAGTAAATCTTCTTTGTTACTTCACACCCATGTTCACACTACTGCACGTGACACCCAAACAAAAAACCCAAGGGAACTCAATCTAAATCACTTCTTTTTATTATTAAAAGTGCTACAGTTTGCTATAACTCACTATCAATCTTGGTTATGAGAGGCGACCATAGTTGGAGCACAAATATGAGGAGGAGGGGACGTTTTGGAGAAGGGCCAGCCTCCGTCCCGGACCCCATGCATTCTGTCTTTCTTCTCTGTTTGTCAGCACTTCCAAACATGGCTACCTGCGGAGGGAACAGACAGGGAGACTCTCTCTTAGCCAGGCTCCTGTATATTATGTTTTTAGCATGCCTTGGATTTTTTCACAGCAGCCTAAGTTACTCCAAACAGAGCCGAGCAGTCCTGCTGATAGTGCGGCGGCCCTAAACAAACCTGTTGCTATGATACCGTCCCAAGTGGAGCAGAAGATGAAAGATTAATGCAAAGCAGTGGAGCTCATTACTTGCTGTTTTTCACACTAATATTATAGCTGTGGTGCAGTGATTTGAAGGCAGACCTGGCAGCAAGGGGTCCCTTAACAGAAAAAGCAATGGGGTTTTTCCATTGGATTTTGAAATATTGCAGAACATTTGCTGTGTTGCAAAAACACGTGTTTGTGATACTCACAGGTTTTGTTCAGCAGGATTATCTCCACATTTTTTACATTGTTTATATGATATGACTTAAAATGTAAATGCAATAGCCAGAAGTAAAAAGCTAGGCTATAAACAAACCACATCGCAGAGCATGGCTGAGCATCGCCACCGCTAAGCTAATATTCACCACTAAGCTTATCACTAAGCTGATGTTCGTAAACTCATGTTCGGAGTGATGAAATAGTCTGATTTAGTCACTTGTTAGCAACCACCGTTTCTATGAAACATAGATGCTTTGGACATTCAATAGTGGGGTATTTACTGACATATTTTCTGTCATGAAACAAAACGTTAAAATCTCTTAAAGGTCACCTATCATGCAATTTATAGGCAATAGCATAGCTCTCAGATATATACAAATATATAAAAAACATGTCTATGAAGTGTTTTGCACAAAATACCAAACAGATCACCCATTCTACCCGGCAGCTACCGTCTAAACTAAATGCTGCGCTGATGAAACGCCATATCATGGATTATCAAGGATGATTTCTGAAACAGTTTGGAGCTCAAAGGCTTTCTCTCTTGCCGGTTATACCACAAGGTGAGTTCCTTTTTACTTCCTGCTTCTTCACACACATGCTCTCCAGTACAGGTTAGCTCTGAGTGTTAGCGATGCTAATGTAAACACCGACCATATTACGTCCAAAACAGTCGGGCATTGTTTCTGATAGCAACTTTCTGATAGGGCCGTGGGTCCACATTTCAGATATTACGTCATATCGGACGCAAATCTGGATCAGCTCCGTTGTAGCCCCGTTTTTAGAGATTTGGGTACGGAGGAAAAGAGAGAGGGTTTTATTTTCTGACGCTGCGTGAGTTCCCTGACGCACCGGGGACACATGTTGATGTATGAAATGCATGATAGGTCCCCTTTAAGCATGTGTTAACCACAGATCTTATTTCAGGCTTCTGACTAACATACCTTTCCAAAAACCATTTACTTCGACAAGGGAACTGGAATTGTTAGACGGCTCACTCATTTCCAGATACGAGGACTCATTCCTGCTCCTCTTTATACTGTATGGTCCCTTTGATAAGGATCCACAGTACAGTGTGGTATTGCTACATTTACTTGCTTACCTCTTCCATTGCTGGTGATCCACGCTGCATTTGATTGTTTTGCTGTCATCACAATGATTTGTCAGTGTGTTTTAAATGAAAAGAGACAGATTTGAATCACGTGTTGCTTTCTGGTTGTTGTTTCGTCCTCTACATGAAATGTTTGGCTCAGCAGCTTAATTATTGCGCAAGAGAAAAACAGCACCACAAACACAGATCATATTACCCTTATTTACCTGCACATTAAATGCCAAAACCACTTTTCCATAGCCCACGCAAACTGAATGTGTCACATCATCATCCGAGCGATCTTGCATCAATGTTGTCAGGGCGGTTTTAAAATCAGACAGCAGCCATGTAAGTATTTTCAGCAATTTAGTTCTCAAATTGCAGCTGTCAAGTGCAATTGTGGCTTCCCTCAGTCAGGCATGGCTCCTAACAAGGTTTCTGTCTCGTGTCTCCGTCATGTCCACATCTCTGCACGTATACAGGTTCACTCAGCAACCTCGGGCGCAATTACACAAAAAGTTAAATGAGGACAAGGTAGACGTTAGAAACACTGGTCAAGCTTGACATTCACACACACACACACACACACACACACACACACACACACACACACACACACACACTCCTCACAGCAGGCAGCAGGAAAGAGTCTGGTGGAGTTGGAGTGGAGACGGTGGGTTTTAATGACACAGTATCTCTCAGAACGTTGTTCCCATAATTACGCTCTGTCTGACGTGGATCTGTCGTTGGCATTGATTGTTTGTCCTGATGCCCACCTCCTCAGGGGGAGAAAAGTGTGTGAGTGTAGAGGGGAGGGAGGGTTGAGGTGGATGTTTGGATCCCCTCGTGCTGGACAGGTTGCATTCAGGAGCCCGTGGGAGGCCC